GTATAAGTTATGCACATTTCTAAATATAAATTTAATTGAAGCAAATATTGATATTAAGATAAATACATAATAATAAATCCATCACACTGTGCAAAGAATATGAAATATGCCAAACTTTAAAAAAAAAGGGAAAATCCTATAATATTACTAATTATTGTGGTTATTCAAGAAAAGATGTTAAAGCTACAATAAAAGAAAAATATCCTGAAATAGACTATTTCAGAAAAATAGACCTCACTATATGAAATTTAATTTAAACAAATATTGATATTAAATATATAATAATAAATCGGTCACATAGTTCAAAAACTCAACTGAAATGGTGTTGTAACCTTTACTTTCTGAACTATCAGGTGGTACTGTACGGTACAATAAGTGCACTGAATTGTATGATTAACAATCAGTTACAGTTAGAATGGTTTGCTGTTTGTAAAAGACCAACTGAACTGAAGGGACTTTGTGATTATTACTTTCTGAGCTATTGTGCAGTTTCACTATAGAAGATATTTAAAGGATAGGAAATGACAGTAATTTAACACAATTAGAAGATGTAGTATCTAGACCATCAACAGCTTTCATAATTGAAGATGAAGGCTTGAAGTTTGAAAACTCACCTGAAAGGATTATGCTTTCTGAGCTATCCAGTGATTTCCTATTGCACAATTTGCAAGAATCAATCACTGAATGGTGAGAGTAGTGTGGAGCATACTGCATGATCATCACTAGATCTTTACCAGTACCATTGAAGAACATGTGACTTCTCCACATGCAATGAGGGAGTTGTGATTATTCTGAGTGTGTACTTATATATACTTTAGTAACAGCTTAAATACTTATCCTGCTTAATATAATTTTAGTGGAAAAGTTTTAGTTTATCTTAATTCTTCCAGTAATTATTTGTTTTGTGATGCTTGAAAATAAAAACATGTTGAGATTGGCAAGTCCTGGATGGTAACACATTAACATGTCACGGCTACCAGGGCATAGTCTATATAACCTAACCTTAGAAGGTTACCAAAGAAATTTTCATGAGAGGCAGAGTGTTTGAAGCTTTCTGTGGATGTGACAACATGTAATGATGGTATACATATGTCACAAACATTACATGAAGTCATTCATGAGTGTTTTGTAACATGAATGAATCAAGTATACAAAGAACACAACTATTAATTAAGCAACATACGAATGGAAACAAAGGATTTGATCAGGGTGTTAAGACCTTGTAATATGGGGTTAACTGTGATGACTGACCTGTAAGGTATTATTTGAAGATACAATGCACCTGATATTTTCATTTATACTAATGAGACAATGGAAGGTAGTGAATTTTCTTAAAAGTATAAGGGTAATGGAGAGATTCACATTACTCGGAGAGAAAACACAGTTTTACCTTTCGTTTTTTTGGAAAGAGTTGTGCAACATATTTGGATTGGATCAAATTGAACTACTTATGAAGGATGAAATGATCAGTAATAAATGTAATTCACAGACAGTGGCTTATATATCATGATAAATATTAAGTTTTTGTATCCAGTGTTTCATTTGGTTATGATGAAATACTTCCAATCAAGCAAATTAGAATATTTACTAAGCATGAAGTTTTCTAAATATTTTCATAATATTGTTACAGTACCAGGTGTAGTTAAAGATGCAGGCTCAAGTGTACTAGAGTGAGTGACACCTGTGTGGTAAAACTTTGAAAACTGCATCTAACTAGTACTAAGCTTTTGGCTAGAAGAAAGGAGCAAAGATATAAGAATTATTGCAGTCTTAACGCCATTTCCTTCCTAATGGAACTGGGTGCTGTTTACATAACAACCAGAAAGTAGTGAAGGTAATAGTTTGGGGTCAAAAAGTAAGCTGTGTTGGCTGTTGTCATGGGAGCAGCAAGCTTTTAAGTATTGGTCATGTGGAGACCCAATGAGGCCTGGGGATTGAAAAGTTCTCAGCTATTAGGGATGCATCTTTAATGGATTAATAGGTCATGAGCTCACGTGAAACTCCTAGAAATGTCACTTACCTAAGATATAGCTTAATTATTCCGTCTCTAATGGTAGTTTAAAAAAGAAATAAGTATGACTGTGAATGACCAATTATGAACCTCTTTACAAAGTACATAGTTTGTTGACCTTCTGAATAATTAGAATTCATCTGACCTTATATTTTCAATCTGGAGTTTTGATATCAAAGATTGGATTCTTGACTATTCTGACTATCTTGTGTTTCAACCAGCCAAGGTTATACTCCCTTGTGTGATTAAACCTCAACTCTTTTCAGCAGCATAATGGAAGTACTTGCAGTGAAAACTAGTATGCCCAAGACTTTCTCTTACTGAGGAATTACACTTCCCCACTGACTTGAAGACTCCAAGAGCTGGCCTGACATTTAACCTGTGACGGATTTACTGTTACATATCTATTTCATTATTGATCTTTGTTTAAGTTAAATTTACATTTAGAAATGTACATAACTTATACTGTTAAATCTATATTATGAAATTCCTGCCTATTCACTAAAGTTGTACAAGATTCTCGAGCATAAGAATCAACAATATATGTGTGTACACAAACACTAGTGTATCATCAGTATTGTTATGCAGGCTAAAATTTCTAGAAGCTCTCTTCATGCCTATAAACTAACCAATGTGACATGCCAAAAGACAGTATATATTATTGGTTTGCTACAGTTAGTATACAATAAACCTCGGAAGCTATAACTGTGATTAACTCTTAGTAATCGGAATCTTCAGATATTTGACCAGGAATGTTTATAAATTTCAAACATTACAAACCATTTAACTTCAGTGGATTCACATCGGACGTTAATATTTTTATGAAAACATTACCTAATTTCAATGGTGGAAAAACTTGATGTGTGACTGGTGAAGAAAGAAGAATATAGACCTAGCTAGCTCCCTGTTAAGTGAATTGTATCTACATCAACTCCAAATTAATTCACTCATTGTGAACCCTCGATAAGATATCAAGGAAGTTCCAGACCAGAAAAAAGACTCAATACTGTTTATAAATTTGTAAATCTTTTGTACATAGAGCATTATTTGTAATAACTGTTATTGTAAATTGTTTTATTGTTTGTATATTTGTATTAAAAGAGAAACTGTGTGCATCAATCTTGTTGGCAAATATCATAAATTGGATACATATCAACATATATTTAACTTTTAAATCTAAATTACAATTTAACTCAGTTTTAGGCTACTTGAAATTGTAATATGTAACAAACTCCATAGATGAAGATGCATTGCTGGCCAATGCACCTGATGTATGGGATTTCATCAAGTTGATTGGCTGTTAGATTTAAATATATCATCTGCTTCTTCACTCTTTAAAAACTTTCTATGTTATCAGTTGTGGTAGTTTAGGCATATTTCTCTTTTATTGTATAAAATACAATATCTATTTAGTTATTTTATATTTTTAAAGCAATTGTTAACTGTCTAAATATTACATTTAGGTTTCACAATAAAAATATGTGCTATGCATCAAACAAATTTATTTTTTATTTACATGTTAATTTCAACAAAATAACACGAAAATGTGTCATTCAAAATTTTCCACTCCTCTTTCTTCCAGTGTATTTTGTATCAGGTCTTACATTCCTGTAAAATAAAAAATAATTATATTTATAAACTGTATTTTTTATATCATCTATTAACCCTCAAAAAATGAAAATATATTGATCTGAATGAATTAATACATATAACATAACATAATGTTTGGGGACAACATGGGACCTATTGGTCCATCTTGGCTGTTTTATCTAATTAATAAGCATTCTTGAGTTTTAAATTGTCAACTGTTAATAGTATATATATATATATATATTTGAAACACTTTATGCTGAAAGTGTACAGCACAAATGATTAAAACTTTGTGGTAATTGTTTGAAAAATCTTAAATATGTATTTTAAATTGTGTGTAGCACATTCTCATGCAAGTGAATAAGGAATTTTAATTTTACCTACTTTAATTAGACACAGAAAGTTGCCTAATTTTTAAAACACTCCTGAAAGGTACCTTTATTTGCCATTTGATTTTTTAGTAATTGAAGAACAATATCATTTTCACTTTTCTGTGGTCACAAAAAGAGGATAAAAACTTTATAACAATTCAAAACATTATACATATATATATATATATATATATAAAGAGGGAGAGAGCAAAATCAGTTGATAAATTCAGCATCACTCACCGTCCTTGTCTTCTTCTTCTCTCTTTCTTTTCAAGAATCCAGTCCCTTGATTTTTTAGGTGCTTTTCCTCTTATTTGTTTCATCCTTTCTCTACATTAAAGTGAAACAGAATTTATCATTAATAGCCATACACACAGAAATCTGAAGTTTAACATGGTAAAAGAGAACAATAAATTTAACACACACACACCCTTTACCATTATTTATTCATAATGACAGAAAAAGAGTAATGCTCTAAATTTTACAAACTATCTGCAAAGTCTTAAATCAAATTAATTACCCTACCCAGCTTATGGATTGTAAATATATTAATATTCAAAGTACAAATAACAATTAGCATATTTAAAGTGATATTTAAATCTTAACAAATTATAATATTTTAGTTATCAATTGTTGTTGTTTTTTAATTAGTGTTCACACCATAATTACTTACCTGGTGTAATGTGATATTGGTGTTTTTAACAAATTTATATGGTATTACCTTTTATCGCTGTAAGGAATATGGTCTGTTCCAGTGTTCTGTTGTTCTTCTGTACCCAGAGCTTTTGGTAACTTTTGATGCCCTCCAGTAAACAGTACTAAAAACATCCTAGAAAATAGATAAGTATCTGAGGGTTATGCATACACTGTGTAAAAAACATTGCATGTATATTTATAATTTTCTAGTTTTGTAACTTTACACCACAAATTAGAGTTTTCAATAAAAAACTAAATTTTTTATACCATATGATTATGTTTGCTTCTCAGCATTCATGCACATTCACAACAGCTAAATAATTTCATTTCTTGTCCTATACTATAAACTGCCAGTAGATAGTACTATTGTCTACATCTTGAAGACACATGTGGATTAACAACACAGATTCATATTTTGTCTCTAGACAAGATTATCAATAAAGGAAAGTTTGTTATACTGAATGCAGTATACTTCTCAACTCTTTCACTACCATAGGCACATATATATGCCCCCTTAAAACACTGCCATGGAAGTTTGGAAATTTTGTACCACCACGAAGAAAAGGGTATTACCTTTCAAACTTCCCAAAGTGTACTACTTTAAAGTTTCTTCTTGTTTTTTATTGTGTATCTTGGAGAATTCTTTATTTATAAATATAATGAGAGAGTTATTTACATGTAGCAAATGTAACCACAACTCACATGGCAATTATCTCTTATTTGCTTTACATTGATAATAGAACAGCATGCATGTGCATCATTTAGCATGCAGGTTACTGAATATGACAGATCAGCAAATATAACCAGGTTATGTGTGGTATCAAACGTCACTTTTGTTTGGCATTTGCTCCATGCAGTAATGCTTGATCTATAAGCTGATTGCTTATCCACTTAAGCTCGACCTAAGCTCGACATACTGAGTTCTTCTACCAAATTTCATCAAACCTCAGATTCACAATCTAAGCATGTTACTCACTAGACCAAGTTTGACCCAAAAGTTATATACATAGCTTGTGTGTTTTTTTTTGTTAAGCACAAATATATACAGTGAGTTATCTGTACTCCAAATTTTAGCCTTTAAAGGCCTCAAGTATCATTGATCCACTGATGGAACAAATAAAAGAAAGTATTGTTGCTAAAATTAAAGAAAGAAAACTGTTGCTAATAGTTTAATCCAATGATCAAAGAAATAAATGTAATGAACAGTCCAACAAACAGATACAAATAAAAGATGTATACTCTTTATTCACAGGAATGTTTTGAATCGAGTGAAAGGAAGGATTAATAAAAAAGAAAGTTAAAATATTACAGGATATAGCAAAAGAAACATAATAACCAAACAAAACAATTTATCTCTCAGATTACCAATTTGTTTGTATATCACTTAATAACAGTTAGGTTCATTTACTGCATGATACTGAGTAGTTTTATGTTTTTCCCTGTTAAAAACTAGGCAAAACATTGGGTGAAAGCATTCATTTTTGTATGTAAAATAAATAAAAAATGAATGATTTAACACAGTGAGATTGCAATATTTTTGTGTGACTCATATGTTATTAGAAACCCTATAACTACACAAAGTCACAGGTCCGCAAGAAATTTGGTGTGCAAACAGTTTAAGAAAATGTGCTTAAAAATCCAAAAGCCCATAGAGACCACAGTTTATATTTCTTTGTTTAATGACTCTGTTACTGTTTTTTCATAAAAATATCAAAATAAAGCCATAAATTATGTTTACTGAACATGCCACTCATAAAAATACTGACGTAACACATAAAAGTTTAAAAACACAAAAATTACAACCATACAAGATGTTTAGCACATTATAACTGCAATTTTTATTTGTATTTAACTTCAACACCACAACTGATAAAAATATTTACCAAGCTCTAATAAGATTGTTCAACCAGCACTCACCACAGGTGCTATTAAAAAGACACATTAAAATTACATATGAAAAAGAGATGTAAAATAACAATCATAAAACACAGAGCTCTTTAAATACTTTAAAATAAGAAAATTGAGGACTATATTCTCTAAACTTTTGAAAAAACTTCAGCTTCTCTTGTGTGAAATCCTACATCAAGATATTTCATTTCTTCACTGAAATTCCTCAATTGATAAATATGAAGCTTTGCTGAAGAAGTGAAACATCTTGGTATAAATTTCTTTTTTCCATTCACCTGAGAGAAGCTGAAGTTTTTTTGAGAAGCAGGTTATAGAACCTCCCATAAGTTTCTAGCTTGTTCAGGGCAGTTATTGAAAATACAAGATTCAAGAAAAAAAAACATATCAGTGAAATAAATCAGAAAATAATCCCTTCTCTACAAAATATAGCAGTATATCATATTTACATACTTTTTAGCTTTGGTGCTATTTGGATAGTCCACAACAAGACCACCAGTGAAGCCAGCTTTCATTGCTTGTTGAGTGATAAGTTCAATCTTTAAGGAGAAAAAAAAATAAAAGAGCATAAATACATACATACATATATATATATATATATATATATATTTCTTCATGCCAAAACAGGATTTTGCAAATTGCTAATTTACTTGTGTGAGAGTG